CCCACCCCACCGTTGGCAAATCCGACCGGGGGAAAAGGCTGAACGCTCCCATCCCCGCAGTCCTACCACGTCTGCCCGGCAACGCCGCCTCAGCTCTCCTACCGTTGGCAAATCCGACTGTGCCGGGGGAAAAGGCTGAACGCTCCCATCCCCGCAGTCCTACCACGTCTGCCCGGCAACGCCGCCTGCCAGCTCTCCTGCTCCCCTTTCCCAGCCTGGCGGGCAACAGGGAGCGGTTTGGGGGTCCCCAAACCTCAGCAGCAGTCACCCAGTGAGAGGTGAACCCCCAAAGATGGGGTTGGCCTCCACACCGCTGCAAACCACCCGCTCCGGCACGGGGAGCATGACCTGTATCAACCGCTGGTGGCGGTGCTGTCGTGACTGCTGGCATCACCCGCGGACGGGACGGATGCCCGTTCATCACCCAAGGGCGAGGAAACGTGCCCGGTGGGAGCCGGAGCAGGACCACCGGTGGGGAGAGCCTGGCGGGGAGGGACACTGTGCCCTGGAGGGGCAAGTTGGGGGCGGCAGCATCCAGCACTTCCCGGCACAGCCTTGGAAAGCCACGGGCTCGCTAGTGCCAAGCTGAATCCCTGACCGCCAGAAAGCGACCTTCCCCGTACAAAGCCCTCCGCGCCAGGGAACGGAGCCGCTTGGAAGCCGCCACGGCACGGTCCAAGCCACAATCCCCCCTGAAACACAGGGGTGCCCGCGAGTGCAGCCCCCCTGAGCGCTGGGGAGGCTGTGTGCCAACCCTTTCCCAATTCCCTGAGGGCGAGAGCTTTGCTGGGACATCGCTGTCCATCCCAGCCAGCCCGAAGGGACAGGAGGTGCCAAGCGTTATCACTGAACTCTGAACTGCCCCGACCCCCTGTAGTTCACACCCACGCGCCCGGCTGCACCGCTCGGGGGGGCGGGAGGCCGCCGGGGTGTCCCCACGGGTGGGCTACGGCCAGGGTGGGCTGGGGCGGTGTCCGCGCACTCACCTGGGTTCGGATCTGCTGCTCGCGCTCTAGCTTCTCCTGGTGCAGCAACCTCACCTGTTCCTGCTGCTGCTGGAGCTGCACTTGCTGAGCGATCACCTTCAGCTTCTCGGGGTACATGTGGGCCTCCAGGGAGCGAACCTGCCGGCCGAGAGAGCCCCGACGTTGGTGGGGAGCCCAGCCTGCTCCTGGCATGGCACCCCCTGATCCCCGCCGGGCAGGGTCCCCGTGGGATGGACACAGCAGAGCCGGGGAGCCCACGGTCAAGCGTGGAGCGGAGGTGGCCAGAGCAGACGACCCGTTACACCGCGGCAGCGCCGGTGCCTGCGGGGGGCTCCGGCACAGCCGCGGCACAGCCCGCTAGAGGGCGAGCCCGCCCCGTGCACGGCCAGCACGGTGCCGCACAGGCAGCAGCGCCACAGCCGGATCCGGCCCCGCGTGGCCTCACCTGCTCCTCCAGCATCATGCGGACCGAGCGCTCCTTGTCCAGCTGCTGCCGGAGCTCGATCATCTCCCGCCGCAAATCCTCGGCCTTCTCGTCCTCCCAGATGTCCGGCGAGCCAATGCCCTCGTCTTTGTCCTCCGCCCGTCGCCGTTTCGGGGAGGAGCCGCTGAACTCCTGCCGTGGGGATGCGGTGTCAGGGGACGGTGAGCAGCCCTGATGCTCTCCCCGCCACCCAGACCACGTCTGGGTGATGCCACCCCCCAGAACATCTCCCTGCAGGGAAGGGGCTCCCCGGGGACACGGGCAGCGCACGGGGTCAATGCCTTTAGCTATAGGGACAGCGCAGCCTGGGGGGGGTGAGCTCCTGCCCCCTCTGCGTGCCCACCCTCCTGGTCCTCACCCCCCCAGCCTTATGCAAACCCGCTTCTCACACCGTGACACCCAGAGCGGTTCAACTGGGCCACCCCAGAGCCAGAGCTGCCACCAGGCCGCACCCCGATACCCCAAATGGAAAATGGGACCCCAGCCCTTCTCCCCCTGCCAGGTAAGGGATGCCACGTTGAACAGGGCTCCTCTGCCCTGCCAGCAAGGTGTGAAACGTCTCCATTCCCCGGCTTATTAGGGAAGAGGGTCTCGCCCTGACCCCAAGGAACAGCGACAAGGTCCCCTCCCCGCCCAGCCAGGACTGTCCCATCCCCTCCCGTCCCGTCTCTGGCGTGCGCAGGCAGGCGCTACCTGGATGAACCGCTTGAGCTGGGTGTTCTGCTGCAGTAGCCGAGTCTTCTCCTGCTCCAGGGAGAAGATGTACTCGGCCGTCTGCTGGAGGATGGCCGCCTGCAGGAGAGCCAGGAGGAGCGTGCTGAGGCAGGAGGGACTCGGGTGTCCCCCCCAAGCCCCTCTCCTGCCGAGCTCCCTCCCTGCCCGGGAGGCAGCAGCACTGCTCCTTGCCCGGCCCCGGCATCTCCATCCAGGGTCTGCTTCACCCCTGGGTCTCCCCTGGGATTTCCACCATGGTGAACCTCCAGTTTACCCGTCTCGGGAACCCAACCGGCTGCCGAGCGCCGCCTCCTCGCCCCACTCCCCTCTGCAGCAGGGCCACCTCGTCACCCAGGCACACGGCACCCTGCTCCCGGGGCGCGGGGTGCTGGTACACACACCA